ATACACACAGTGGAATCCTACCCGTCATAAAAAAGAATAAAAATCCTGTCATTTGCAGAAACATGGATGGCAGTGGAGATCATCATGTTGAGTGAAATAAGCCAGGCACAGAAAGACAAATGTTACATATTCTCATCTGTATGTGGGAGCTAAAAAATTGTCTTCATGGAGGTAGAGATGAGAATTTTACCAGCAGCTGAGAAAAATCTGTGTAGGGGGAGGGGATGAAGAGAGGTTAATCGGTGCACAGTTAGATAGTATTCTAGTGTTCAACAGCACAGTAGGGTGAAAACTGCTAACAATCATATATTGTATGTATTATATACAAAATATGTACTGTATATGTTATATATAACAGTGTATAGATAATAGATACAATGTATAATAGTATCTATTATATATACACTAAGTATATTTCATACATATGCTTTTTTATACTCTAAGTGTATATATAATGTATAAAATGTAATAGTGTATATATAATACTATATTGTATATTTCAAAATAGCTAGCAGATTTGAAATGTTCTCATCACAAAGAAATAATAAATGCCTGAAGAGATGGCTATCCTAAATACTCTGATTTGATCATTACACATTGTATGCATGTATCAAAATGTCATATGTACCCCATAAATATGTACCTGATGGATCAATAAAAAATTTATTTTAAATGAGAATGGGAAAAAATTTGCAAGTCATAGGAACTAGTATCGAAATACATAAAGAACTATAACAACTCAATGATAAAAAGATGAATACACATACTAAAATAAAAAATAGTCAAAGGATTTAAATAGATATTTTTTCACAGAGAATATATAAATAGCCAATAAGCACATGAAAAGATGTTCAATGCCATTAGTAATTAGAAAATGTAGTTCAAAATCACAATGAGACACCACATTACACCTACTACAATGGCTATAATCAAAAAGATTATAACAGGAGTTGGTAAGGATGTGGAGAACTCTAACTCTTATGTACTGTTGATGAGAGTATAAATGGTGCAGCTGCTTTAGAAAAGTTTGGTTGTGATGGAAGTATTTCGGATTGCATGTAAAAACCCCACACTGTACCCCTATGCATTAATGTACATAGTTACCATTCAATTAAAAAAAAAAAAAGTTTGGTTGTTCCTCAAAAAGCAAAATATAGTTACCATATGACCCAGCAATTCTATTTACAGGTATATATACTCAAGATAAATTGAAAACGTATGTCCATACAATAACTTATACATGAATGTTCATAGCAGTACCATTCATAATGCCCAAAAAGTAGAAAGAACTTAAACTTATCCTCATGAATGGCTAAATACATGGTCTAGCCACACAATGGAATATTTATGAAAAAAAAAGAAATGTTGTACTGATACACACTATAACATAAATAAACCTTACAAAACATGCACATTTAAAGAAGCCAATCATCAAGGACCATATATTGCATGATTTACATGATTCTATTTAAATGAAATGTCTAGAATAGTCAAGTCTATAGAGGCAAAATAGAGTAATGTTTGCCTAGGTTAGAGGAGAGAGACTGAGGATAATGACCAAGGGGCGTTAGGTTTCTTTTTGAGAGGATGAAAATGTTCTAAAATTGATTATGGTAAGGTTGCATCATTCTGAATAAAACTAAAATCTATGGAATTGTACACTTTAAAATGGTGCACTGAATGATATGTGAATTATCTCTCAAAAAGCCATTAAAAAAGTGTCAGAAATAATGGCTTAATATATTCAATATGATGAAAGTAAGTAAAATAAAATTCAAGGGTTAAGGATGAAAGATTATATAAAAGAGTTTAATACCCACAAACTTTATTATTTAAAGTATCTAAAACACTTCAGCAAGAAAAGTAAACCCAGAAAAAAGGCATGCAGTTCAAGAAACAATAATCACAGAATTTGGAAAACTTGATTAGTAAATTTAATTAGTCATTGAGTACAAACAAAAGAACTAACTATTAAATTGTGGTTTTTAACAATAGGACTAAAATTCTAGATACAAAAAAGCAGGTAAGGGTGGTGCCTGTGGCTCAGAGGAGTAGGGCGCTGGCCCCATATGCCAGAGATGGCAGGTTCAAACCCAGCCCCCAGCCAAAAAAAAAAAAAAAAAAACCCCACAAAAAAGCAGGTAAATTGGCAGAGGCAAGGTGCTCTTTCAGTGGAAGTATGCTAAGGTCTTTGGCTTACTCACGAGAGGACTCAAAATTCTGAATAATTCTAAACTTTGTTAATTTTAGAATTATAGTATGTTAAAATTTTATAGGAAACACTAATGGAACAGAAAATAGTATATAGTTTATAAATTGAAAGAGAAAAAAATAAAAAAATAAAGTCTACCAGCACAATGGAAAGCAATAAAAGAGGGGAAATGGTAAAAAAACAAAACAAAACAAATGACCAAACCACAGAACTCTGATGCAATATTTGGAAACTAAAAAATTTTTAGAGCTAAACTACGAAAGTTCTGGGTGTCTAGACTTGTGGTATGTGGCTAAATTAAGACTTAGAAATTTGTAGCCTTAAATGCATCCATTAAAAATAAGTCTGAAATAAATGAATTAAGAGTTCAATTCTCTTAAAATAAAACAGAAAATTATAACAGAAATAAACCCCACGTGCTGTTTTTATGCTAAATATAACAAAACAAAAGCAGGAAGATCATACTAAAGATAAGATCAGAAATCAAGGAACTAGAAAACTGGAAAACAAAACAGCAGAAAACTCAACTAAATTAAAAGCTGACTGTTTGAAAGGCTAATAAAAATACCCTAGATCCAAAGTAAGATATCAAGAAAAAAAGAATCTAAGTGTCCCTCAGTAGATGAACAGATAAACAGTGGTATATTCATACACTGGAATACTATATAGCAGCTAAATGAATAGAGAGCTAATTGAGTGCTATGTGTTGAAGCGGGGGGTGGGGGTGATGTTGAAGAATAAGAGCAGCATTATACAACTTACATAAAAATTTAAAAACAAATGTCATACATTATACATAGACACATATCTATAAAGTAAAGCATAAGAACATGGATAGGAAGGATTCCCACGGCTTGAGGATCATGGTTATACCTGCGAGCTAACAGGGAAGAGAATGAGATAATGAAGGGCACAAAGAAAAGTTACTACTGCATCTGGTACATTTCAGTTCAGACCTTTTTGGTCTGAAGCAAGTAAGACAAAAGAGAACAGTCCTCAAATATGGATGGTAGGAACAAAGATGTTGATTACACTTTATTCCATATTTTCTATATGTTTGAAATATTAAAAAGAATAAAAAAAATCATTCTGCCTAATGTATGTCAAAGGAGATGGAAGACAGCAAGAGTGAAATCGGAAGACCACTATCATAAGGGATACTATTGTAAATGGGATGCAACTTACCACAGGATTTCATTACGAAGCCTCCCCTTATAAACCACCACTTAATGCATTGTTGTAGTCACCGTTTACATAGCCCTTTATAGTATTTGGTTTATATTACAACTTTGACAAGTAGGCAGGACATTCTGTAATAGTGACAGAGCTGGAATTCACACCTAAAACATTTGGCTCCAAATCTAGAATTTGCCATTTTAGTAATAACGCAACTGAGGCTTGATGAAATAAGGTGACTTGGCCAAGGATATAAAGTTACTAACTATATATTAATTTTGCTATCCTTAAGGAACTGATGCTATTCTGAATTTGGAAACATTATGAAAATGAATCTCAACATTAGGAAAATGACAAAAGCTCAAAATTCATGGAAAAGATCATAGTTATTATTTTGTTTACTTTTGAAGTTAGAATCATATGATACACAAGATTTTTCCACTAATTCTACAAAATCAGAATGTTGGGAGTAGAATCATACAGGAAAGATAATTTAAATTTTCCTCCTGAGATAAAAAAGTAACTAAGTTTCTTTAGAGAAAAATTAACTGTATCTAAAAAGTAACACTTGAGTATATTATACCACAAGTTTCAATAACCATTTTTACGTTATTCAAAACAAAAACAGGTACATTGCAACCACTGCATTTTGGCAACTACCCTTTTTTACTTAACAACTGATTGTTAAGTCAATCTTTAATGTCAAACATTATGTGATGTGATTTTAACCAACTTCAGTATAGCTTTATGCTTGTACTTCCAAGATTTGAGAAGGTAGGGGCACATGTTAAAAAGTAGTTCAGAATTCAACAAAGGTAAGGTACTTAAACCTAGAAGTATATATATTCCATACAAATAATTAAAGAATTTAACTGTTTTTTTTTTCCATAATAGTACAGAAATGGTATTTTTGAGTACCAAAGGCAAATTCCAAAGGTTCTCTCAGGAAAACTATTATAAAGTTTAAAACTTTATAATAGAGCCACTTGAAAATGTGTATGACCCATGTTTTTAGCAATGCCAGTTCTATTGCTACATTTTGAAACTGTGTTTTAAAAGTTTATTTAGGAAAAGAGTTTGGAATTCAAATATGTATCGACTGTATCTCTCTGCTTTAGATAGTACATCTAAATGGAAGCAGGACTGAGTTCAAGGGCATAAGGAGTGTACTTACCTATTCTTAAATTCAACATTAAATTTTTTTTAATTGTATTTTATTTTCTAAAGAACAAAAACAAATGAAGGTTAGCATACTGGGGAGTCACACTATGAGAGACTGCTTTAATATAACTTTGGCTACAATACAAAGACTGGCACAATAGCAGATAGAGATAGGAGGTTATTATAATGGAAATTAGATGGGTATGTGTTATAATAGTCCGGGTCAGGACCAAGCTTTATAAAAGTTCAGATGAATGCATCCTACCCTAGAGATTGAGTTAACAGGTATAGAGCAAGTTCTCAAAATTCTAAGTGAAAAGCTAAACATGCAGAACTCATAGGAAGTTAAAGCATCAAACAAAAGATGCTCTTGATGCTGGCCCTTTCAGAAGAATATCAGGAACTCATGAAAATTATAAGTTGATGCTTCTATAAATGAACACTGACTCACCTGGATCAGGGTCACATTTTAGGTCCGATGGATGTACAATAGGGTGGTACTGCTTCTAAACAGAATATAAATCAAACAGATTAATGTAATCACTGAATGCCTCATATAAACATTTTCTTCAGCTAATGTAGGTAAACATACTATTGTTGGTAGTACCATTCTTTTGGGAAGAAAGAAATTAGATCCTGAAACCTACAGGGAAGGGAAGGGAGGAAAAAGACAAGACCCACTAAGCCTAAACTATACCTTTTATAGTACTGCCACCTACTGCATACACTAAGAAATAGCATCAAATTAAAAGCACAAAGACTGAATGCTGTGTCTAAAGTGAAGAGCAGAGGCTCTCAACCCGTAGGTCACAACCCCTTGTAATAATGAAAATACATCCTGCATATCAGATATTTACATTATGATTCATAACAGTAGCAAAATGACAGTTATGAAGTAGCAACAAAAATAATTTTATGGTTGGGGGTCACTACAACATGAGGAACTGTATTAAAGGGTCGCTACATTAGGAGGCGTCAGGAAGGTTGAGAACCACTGGTGCAGAGCGATCTCCCAGTTATGAATGGACTGTGTTTCAAAAGTTTATTTAGGACAAGAGTTTGGAATTCAAAATTCATATTTCAGCTTGAATAAGGGCGAGACTCCATCTGTACAAAAAATATAAAAATTAGTCAGGTGTGGTAGCATATGCTTATAATCCTAATTTGGGGGGAAGGGAAGGGTGAGGCAGAATCTTTTGAGTCCAGAAGTTTGAGGTTGCAGTGAGGAGCTATAATGACACCACTGCATGCTAGCCCAGGTGACAGAGCCAGACCTTGTCTCAAAAAAGAATATAAAAAATTCAGAAACCCTATGCTAAAAAGTGGCTAGATAACACCATACAAGTGGCTATCTATTCTGTGATACACTGAAAATACAGTAGCAGAATCACTAGCACAGAATCCATAATTTAGGTAAAAAGAGGAAAATGTTCCTCTTTACTCTTACCCAAAGCCAGTAGAAACCAAAAGGGTTTAAAAGAGAAAAGAAAAAAAAAGTCTTTAGGGTGGCGCCTGTGGCTCAGTGGGTAGGGTGCCAGACTCACATACCGAGGGTGGTGGGTAGATGGTATATGGAAGATGGTATATAGTGCCAGACCCATATATCGACCATGGCCAAACTGCAACAAAAAAATAGTCGGGCATTGTGGTGGGTGCCTGTAGTTCCAGCTACTCGGGAGGCTGAGGCAAGAGAATCGCCTAAGCCCAGGAGTTGGAGGTTGCTGTGAGCTATGTGACACCATGGCACTCTCTCTACAGAAGGTGGTGGTAAAGTGAGACTCTGTCTCTACCAAAAAAAAACCCAAAAAAACAAAAACAAAAAACCATAGTATCCTTACCCTATCCATCACTTTTTTTGTTGTTGGAGAAAGAGTCTTGCTCTGTCACCTGGGTTAGAGTGCCATGGCCTTAGCCTACCTCACAATAATCTCCTGGGCTCAAGCAATCCTTCTACTTCAGCCTCCTAAGTAGCTGGGACTGCATATGTATGCCACCACACTTGGCTAATTTTTCTATTTTTAGTGAAGATGGCGGTCTCACTCTTGCTCGGTCACTCTGGTCTTGAACTGCTGACCTCAAGTGATCCTTCTGCCTTGGCCTCCTGCAGTGCTAGGACCACCATGCCCATCCCATTTTCCATCACTTTTTAAACTGCCACAGTGGTACCTCCTAGGCCTGCCACTTTCTTCCTTTTATGCAATACTGCTTACTACTAGAGTTGGGAGTGGGGGGCAACAAGGGTGACACCTGAAAACTAAATACACTATGAATAGTTTTCCTGAAGAAACATTAAAGCTAGGGGTAGGGCGGAACGTGCTGAGAGCAGAGAGTTTGTAGTATGGGAAATTTTTTGAGAACTGCTATGGGGGAAAAAATTTTAATTCTGTTTTTAATCTTTTATTTTTTTCATAGAATGATGACTAAAATATTTTAGATAAAAAATTAAGCCTGGCCTTTAGTGCCCTGAAAGGCAGGTAACTAGAAAATTTATGTTAAAGCATACTTATTTCAATAACTCCAGGCAAACAGTACAGTATAGTCTACAAGTAACATATAACCTCCCTGGAAGGACAATGCCATCCCCAGCAAACCTCCCCCCCATCCTAACAAGGAAGAGTTAGGTCTTGTGGCCTCCGTTTTATTTTTTTCTTTTTCTTTCTTTCTTTCTTTTCAGTTTTTTGGGCCGGGGCCAGGTTTGAACCTGCCACCTCTGGTATTTGGGGCACCATCCTACTCCTTTGAGCCACAGGCACTGCCCACCATTTTATTTTTTAATCTATTCCAGTTCTAAAAAATCTGAAAAGATGGGCAAGTGATATGGTTGGTTATCCGTATCTACATAACTGTAAAGTAGGAAGCAAGTTTATGGCTCTGTCTATCTAAAAAGCTCAGGCTGCCCCATATACCAGAGGTAGCAGGTTCAAACCTGGCCCCGGCCAAAAACAGCAAAAAAAAAAAAAAAAAGCTCAGGCTGAAGGAGCTGACTTCCTAGTCTGTGTCCCAAATGTCACGACTTTTATAACAAAACAAATTACACACAAAAAAGCAAATTTCAATATTATAGATGGGTATTCAAATAATCTTCATCATTAATTTAACTAAAGGATCTTACAAAATATACTAACAGAGATAAAAAATAAAAAGATAAATTTCCTTTTCTATCCTGTCAGTAATTGTCAGTTTTCCACCTCTAATTTCAATTTTAATATCAGCTATATTCAAAACCTAGTATGACTAAAATGGGAAAAAGTCTTACAGGAGATAAATAGTACTAATTGAGGCAAGAAAGAAAAAGATAACAAGATGTCATATATCTGCATGTGGATCTTATACTTTAATTTTATTACTGTGGTAAAATATGCATAACATTTGAAAGGCAAATTTTCTTACCAGAATTTCTTGTTTGGCTTTGATGGTTTTGATAACACATTCCAGGATCTTTCTGGGATACTGCTTACGTTTTGTGGCTATATCTACTATGATTTCATCAAACTGATCTTCAAGTACTTTGATGTCAGAATCTATTTCAGGGAAGAAAAAAATATATCTAAAAAGTTTCTTAAAACTCATTGCTTCTACCCTGTATGAAAATGTGACATACACTAAATTTAGAAAACACTAATAAAGGAAAATAATATAGCAAGTTAATGGATACCTCCACTTTGTGATTAATTAATTTACTTATTGAACAATCGATTACTGAGCATTGATGGGAGACCAGGCCTGGACCAGAGAAATATAAAGATGAGCACAACATGATCCCTACTCTGTAAGTGTTCATAGTTCACCAGAAGAAAAAGATAACTGCAAGGCAACCTGATACATGCAATAGAGGAATGGACAGAATGTTATCAGGACAAAGAACAATGAAACACTTTGCCTGAGAACACTTCCAAAACACTGAAGAATATCTGAGCCCGAAATCTAAGTGTAACACCAATAGATACAAAATGGTAGGGAAGAAAATAATAGGGAGAAGCAGTTTAGGCAGAAGAAACAGTAAGTGAAATCACGGCATCTTTGAGGAACAGAGAAAAGGTCTAAATGGAAGCAGAATAAGGTAAAGAAAAAAAGATAAACATACATTAATATAAAAACTAGGTTTCGGGCAGCACCTGTGGCTCAAAGGAGTAGGGCACTGGCCCCATATACCAGAGGTGGTGGGTTCAAACCCGGCCCCAGCCAAAAACTGCAAAAGAAAAAAACAAAACAACAACAACAAAAACTAGGTTTTTCTTTTTGAGACAATGTCTCACTGTGTCACCATTGGTAGAGTGCCTTGGTGTCATAGCTCACAGCAACTCTTGGGCTCAAGTGATCTTCTTGCCTCAGCCTCCCAAGTAGCTGGGACTACAGGCGCCTGCCACAACACTGGGCTCTATTTTTTGAGATGGGGTCTCACTCTTGCTCATGCTATCCTTGAACTCCTGAGCTCAGGCAATCCACCCACCTTGGCCTCCCAGAGTACTAGAATTTCAGGCATGAACGACCACACTCCACCAGAACTCGGCTTTTTTTTTTTTTTCCCCAGACACTGTCACCTGGGATAGAGTAGAAGAGTGTCATCATTGCTTACTACAAAGTCAAACTCCTGGGCTCAAGCCATCTTCCTGCCTCAGCCTCCTAAACAGCCGAAAATACAGGAGCATACCACCATGTCCAGGTAATTTTTCTATTATTTCTAGAAGACAGGGTCTTCTAGACCTCAACTTAGCTTTCTGGCCGCATCTGCCATTAGTTCTCACAATTCACTTTTGATATCATTCCTTTGTGCCCTTGCATATGCTGATTTGTTTCAAATCTCCTTCCTAACTCCTGTTTAGCATACTCTCATTTATTTATTTATTTATTTATTTCGAGACAGAGCCTCAAGCTGTCGTCTTGGGTAGAGAACCGTGGCATCACTGCTGACAGCAACCTCCAACTCCTGGGCTCAAGCAATTCTCCTGCCTCCACCTCCCAAGTAGCTGGGACTACAGGCACGGTGATGAGAAAAACAGATATAGTACCTTTGCTCAAGAAACTTACACGTGGGCAGCACCTGCGGCTCAGTGAGTAGGGCACCAGCCCCATACATGGAGGGTGATGGGTTTGAACCTGGCCTGGGCCAAAATTCAACAAAAAATAGCCAGGCATTGTAGCAGGCGCCTGTAGTCCCAGCTACTCGGGAGGCAGAGGCAAGAGAATCGCCTAAGCCCAGGTTGTTGTGAGTTGTGACGCCACAGCACTCTACCAAGGGCCACAAAGTCAGACTGTCTCTAAAAAAATTAAGAAAAGAAACTTACACTTTAAATCTTAAATTTGCCTCCTGGAATCAAGTTCTTTCAGGGTAGTTACAGGGCAGAAGCGGAAGAGGTTTGTTTCACTTTTATATGCATTCATTCATTGGTTTTGTTTACAGTAGCTTTTTTTTTGCGGTTTTTGGCTGGAGCTGGGTTTGAACCTGCCACCTCTGGCATATGGGGCTGGCGCCCTACTCCTTTGAGCCACAGGCACCGCCCTGTTTACAGTAGCTTTATGTCATTTCCTCCTTGCAAGCAAGGCAAGAATAGAGGCATATCTCAGGAAAGTTTCAGGTGTTTTTTGGGAGACTTTTGTTGCCCATACTCTCATTTATTAAATGCATTTAGTTTTGGTCTTCTCCCACTTTCCAAAGAGTACTTGTCTTTGTCCATTTCCTTCCCATGAACAATGAGTTCTTACATGGTATATCAGCATATACACCATATCAAGTAAAGATTAATGAAGTATATTCATGAGGTATGGCACTTCATTCATGTAACCAATATGCAATGAATCCATGTAAGTTGCTTCTTTGAGCATACTACATATAATTAGTAAAAACAGGTCTTTTTATCTTTTTCCTAGCATTTGGCAATGGGCCTGGCATTTAATAGTACCTGTGGAAGAAGACAAACATACAGTACTTTCAATTACCTCCCCCCCCCACCATCATAAGCAAATAGGGACAAAGGACATTTTCCCCAGAATATCCATCTATCAAATATACATTTCTTTTTTTTTTTTCTGTTTCTTACCTGTTTGCTTTATTTTTTTTTTTATTGAATGGTAAAAATATACATTTCTTAATTCATAAATTGACCAGTCATAGGTATAGACAGCCCGTGACCAAAGGCAATTCCAAAGTAACTTTATAGAACAAGTCAGATAAAGACAGTGGAAAGCTGTTCAGCTGAAAGTACTCCTAGGTGATGCTGATATACTCCTCCCCTATTAATCAGCAATTACTCTGCTGACATTTGACAAACCTGATGTTACTGTTTTAATATGTAAACTAATGTGAATTTTGATGATGTCAGAAAGACAAATATAATAATCCCAAGGACTAGACAGTGAAGTATTTGGGGCAAAGTATTATTTAATGTTGAGAACAAAAATTATAACTAGAAGGTTGCTTGGTGGGCTTGGAATCAACTCCAAGATATAACTGGATAATCTGAAACTTTAAGCAGTGACATCAAGCTATACTGGTCAGAGCCAACTAATATCACCATGGTAACAGACAAGCTACTTTGGCTCTCTTGTCAGAGTAACCCTTCTCAGGACATTGCTGAATTTGGATAGGGGAATTCTGCTTTCCTTCCTACAATGACCATTCCCTTTCCACAAAACCATTACTATTCTGACTATTCCCTTTCTAACAAAACCCTGATTTCTTTATATGTCAACACCATTAGGGTACAATTAAATCTGCTTTGGACAAAGAAAATGCTCTTGTCTTTTTAAGGCGGCTTCTACAAATCTGTAACTTCATCCTTTACATAGTACAAATTAACTTCACACTTAATTTTTTTTTTATTTTTATTTTGAGACAGTGTCTCACTTTGTCACCCTTGGTAGAATGCCATGGTGTCATAGCTCATAGCAACCTCAAACTCTTTTTT